GTGATCTCTGTGGATCCTAATGCCCCAGTGCAGTGATGGGACACTGTACTCTAAAAAATGGTGCCATCATTTGGCTGAGATGTAAAACCGGGTGTCCTGACTCTTTGAGGCCATAAAGGATCCCTGGGCATCCTTTGACAGAGTAAGGGTAATACTCTGATCCCCTGGCTAACACTGCTCATTGTAATCCTTTCAAATCTGGCCTCCTATTCATCCCCTATATCTAATTGATGAATTCTCTCCTGCCCCTTCACCACCTTAGTTACCGTGTGGTAACTGTAGAACTGCAGAATGGCAGCCATTGCATCATCCACATGGGTGCTACACAGTGGTGGTGGTTGAAGTGGCTCCCTATTGCTTCTGTAAAGCCCGTTGGGTGTCTTGAAAAGCGCTATATAAATATATAAATACAATATTCATTCACATGTCTTAAAATGTCATTTATATTTTTTATATTCTTCATTTGTCTAAAAATGTATATTCGATTTATTTCTCATTTGCACCAACATTTTCCTCGACAGAACATTAACTAACTACCATGTAATGTCATTCAGTAACATATAGACACTACTGTGATTTTATTCTGATATTAAATGTTATGCTACTTACAATAAATTCTGCTAAACAAAACTTCCACAGTAAACCGAAAATACTGTAATTCTGCCCAAGTAGGGGTGTGCAATATGAACCAAATCTCACATCCTGATAATGACACACATCACAACATAGCAAATTTTCCGTAAATTTAATGAATTAATAGTTTCTATAAAATGACCACATGGAAAGGCCTATTTCTTATTACATTTTGAATTATATACTCGACAAATAAAGGTACTTATTCATATTTGATTATTTTTCTCCTTTGTGCAAATTTTCAATTTCAAGCAGATAAAGTGACAGGGACCACAGTCATCCATCTCGCAGGTGGAACAAGAGAGGGCATCAGCTTGCCTGGCCAGTGCTGGGCCTCAAAGTCTTACCCCTGGAGGGCCTCCAGCCAACGTGTCAGCTATCCCTTGGGGTCATAGAAACTCAGGAGCCAGGTGAAGGATGTGTGGTTGGTGTGCAGCTGGAAGCACCATCCACAGATATGGACGAAAGTAGTGACAGGCTTGCACAATCACAAGGAGTACCTTGTGGGTCACGCAGTAATTCCACTCAGGGTGATTGTCTGGCTGAAACACACCACCACCCTTTCGCCCAGCAGCCCCACCTGGGACAGCATGGCACCAAGCCCCTTGTTGCTGGTGTTGGTGTCCAGGTTGAAAAGCAGTGCTGAGTCAGGATACAAGATTGCATCTGCAAGCTTCCCTTTACGCCCTCTGCTACCTTCTATTGTTTCAATTTTGGGGAGATCTGTCTCAGGTGTAGATTTTTATGTATAGACTCTCATCCACATATTGCTTTTGTGTAGTGGAAATAAGATCCAGCAAAGATCAAATAAAGTAAGTAGAGTTGAAATATCAAACAGAGCAGTGGTTTCCAACCTTATTCACATTGAAACTACTTAAAGATTTACCAGTTGCTGAGCACCGAAATAGTTATCCTGTTCACAAGTTCAAGCACCTCATCCAAGTCACCCTTCCCTTTGCTGCCACTAAGCGCCATCGCTTCAATTTTGGTGCGGTTTGTCTCAGACTGAAATTAGGTGTAGATCTTCATCCATGGAATGTTTATGCCGTAATATGATCTACCAAATACTTTGACTTATCACATTTGTGAACTGCTTTCACCTTTCCCTTTGCTGCCACTAAATTTTGGTTTTGTCTCAAAATTTGACAAGGATCAGTTCCAGTTCCTCACCTAGACAACATGTGCACAAGGTTTGAAAGATCCTCCAAATATTTTTTCAGTTATCGCTCTAGCAGGATCAAATGTCATAATTGCCCTTTTCTTAGCTTTGTGGGGCTACTATGCGGGGCTTCTTCAGTTTGTGAAATTTCAGTTTCAGCTCATCACCCATACAATGCCTCATAATGGAATCAAGTGTCTGAAACAGCTGACTGAGGAATAAAATACCAGGAAAAATGCTTGCATATATAAGGACCAAAAACTGATCTGAAATCACAGTAGCATATTGTAACCTACCTAAATTTTTTCTGAAGTGTGATGACAGCCTTTGAGAGGGTTTTCATTCTTTTCCTTGTCTGAAAGCCTCTCCACGTTGCTTGAATCATACATGCAGACTTGGTTTCCCGCTCAACTAATTGCTAGGAAGAAAAAGAAGAGGACAATCATGACGATTCCAAATATAGTTAAACTATTTGAGGATAAATTTCATTTAGAAAAATACACATTTTAAAACCAAACCAAGTATAAATTTGCCTAAATTCCAGGCATTTGTGGTTTGGTTATGTACTAAACATGTTTATATATTTCATAACACTGACCAGAGAAGCTTCTTTATGTTGAACTTCAGGGTATAGCAAATCACTTAGCTGCTCCACCTCAGCATCAAACCCCTTGCCATTCCAATCATTTTTCAACATGGCTTTGAGACCTGAAAAAGGCAAATTAATTATATCCTGCACTATCTGAATATTACAAAAAGTTTCAAACATAAAATTAATGTAATTATTAGACACCATTTCAATTAAAGTCTGCTATAGTAACAAACCTTCGTATTTGCCAGATATCAGCTCTGCAACAGAGTGCGATTTTCTTGCAATTATAAGCAATGTATTTATTGCCGTGCTGCAGGTAACAGAACTGGAACTGCAGCCCAATTTGTACACAATGTCATCCAAAATGCCATTTAGGGTTCCATGTCTTATTTCAATAAAAAATTCACTGTAGGTTATTACAAAAAAAAAAAGTTAGAACAAAACTGCAAATGTGACATTTCTCTCAAATATTGACAAAATTCAGACCACTCAGATTCTGCATAAAAACAAACCCATTTAAAACAATACTACACTCTAATCCATTACAACTGTAAACAAATTTTGTGTGTGTGTGTGTGTGTGGCTTATGTTTATAAATGTGATAAAAACCTGTTATTTTGACATTGTGGGGACCATTTTTCATGCCCCCACAAAGATCTGTGAATGCAATCAAAAAACTAAAAATGGCAAAAGTTTAGTATTTTGTTTGGTTACTTATGGTTAAGGTTTGGGCTGGGTAAGGGTCAAGGTTGTCATGTTGGGATTAGAGTTTTCACTATACAAATGAATGGAGAGTCCCCACAAAGATATAATTACAAACCTTTGTGTGTGTGTGTGTGTGTAATTTAAGAATTATATCAGTGGAATATTATTGGATTACATTACTGAATATGAAATTCCAGCCAACACTAATATACTATATGATATATTTGTTCATACCTATTTGATTCAATGAGATGTTGCAGAAATAATAATGATATTTTGCCAATTTCTTCATTGTCACAAAGCTGAATCTTCTCATAATATTTCGACTGAAGAACTAAAGAAAAATAACTTCAATCATTCATTTATTACCATGTAGACTCATTAAGTATCAGTGAATCCAAAATGAATGTAAAACTGTCAAACAAAAATAAGAATTTTATTTTGCTACTAATAAGATTAAAGTACTTTATATATATAAAAAAAACTTTTTCTAAACAGTTTTTGATTTTTACATTTCAATTTGTCAAAAACTTACCATGCTGAATTAACTGCCCATGTCCCTTTAAAAGCCAAAAAATTGAGTCCATAATTTTCCCAAAATGAATAATATTGGCTGATTTCTTTACCTTTCACACAGGAACAAAATGTTTTGATTGGTAAAAAGTGCTCATTAATGCAGCATTTTATGCTCAGTACAAGACAGTAAGACAGTACTTTAAATTGACAAAAAGGTTAAAAATAAATTATATAAATACCTCCAATGCTGCGTCCATTATACAAACTGCCAGAGAACTTAAATTGTCTGCAACTAATGGAAGAAACTGCTTATGAAATCTCTCTCTTTTTTTAATGCCATCAAGGCCAACACAGCATGTGCTGGAAAAAAAATAGTTATGCAAGGGTGAAAAACCAACAGCATGTGGATCAAATTTTAATAGATTACCAGAGTTAAAGCTTTTTAAAAATATACGTGGTATAAATAGTAATTTGATTATGCTTGAAATTAGACATGGGAATATTTCCAACAATAATGAATTAAACATTTTGGCAATGAAAAACAGACATACATTTAACAAAAATACACCATTAGTACAATACCCAATCAAAATAAAATATTCTGAACTTGCCAGTCCCACTGATTTATCCTTACCTGACAATTTCTGCAATTTGCACAGCTGTTTCATACCCTCCTTGAACAGTGTCATAGTTGTAAGTAAGGGCATCTGAACAGTACTGAAGTATCTCAGTTGTGTACATATCTTGTTTAAATTTTTTAAGTTCTTCGCTGCCTCCTACAGATTTTCTATTTAGGATGTCTTCAACGGGTCGGGCAAAGACACAAAAATCAGGTATTGCTTAAAATAAAAATGAGTGATTAATCATATACGTTCACAAGTCATGTTGTAGTGAATAGCAACCTTTTAACTTTACTATGACTTCTGGAGCAATATGTTCCGATTTACTCGCCACAGCAGTAGCCAGAGATCGCAGATATGGATCGACATCTTCATTACGGCTTAAACTCATAATAAGCTTGTCAGGAGAAAAAAGGACAAAAAAAATTATGAAGCTACATTTCTCCGGATACTTCCAGATTTTTCAACGAGCAGTAACAAACCATCCTATTATACTGACTTTTACTAAAAAAAGAACACTTATAAAACGACTAGGTCTGTAATGAGGCACAAAGTTTCTTAGACTGATAAAGTGGGTAATATAGTTATATACCTTACAGTATATACCTGTACTGTTTCTCAGTTTCAGTACTATTTCAAAATAAGGAAAGGTTGCTAGGAGTCATACGTATGCGTCCTAGGGATGTTTCGGTGCCGATTACGTCAATAACGAGCGCGAGAAATGGCAAAGGTGGATTATATCACTGTCTCGCGACATAAAATGTAAGGCAGTGCCGCATGCGCAAAAAGATAGACTCTAAGAAACTCATGACACCTCCTTGTGCATTACGTATTTCCACAAAACTCATTAAATAGGTTGTCAAAAGTTCAACTAGTATTTTGTACTTCTTGCAGCTGAATCATGAGCACGTACGACCGAAAAATAATTTCTGTTATAGGAAGGTATGCTGAATATTTAAGCACGAGGCATTTTTGCCCATGCAGATTTTAGACTTGAGCTACAAACGAATTTGTCAGTTAATTAACCGAAGGATTTCGAATTTGAAAGTGTAATATATGTCTTTAATGAGCGAATACAGGTTGGACAATGTAATTTTATTACGAGTTTATTTTATAAAGAAATTGTAAAACTTACGAATATTTATAAATAGTATATTGAAGGCGTGCAGCTTGACTGTTCATTACTATTAGTGTGACCTTGTCTAGATTCGCAAGTACAGGAAAAAGTTAAACGTAATATCAAGAACATACAGTGATGAACTCAAAGATAAGCCATTGATTAGCCGTAGTCCGATGTATTTGTGGTATTGACATATGTAGCACCATATAAATGGGAAAACGTAAAATAATGAAATATTCTCTTCTTTTTATAACCTCCATACATGGATTTTATTAAGCCAAAGACATAAAAACATTTATAAATAAACACTGTAGATCGTATTTATAGAAGGAATGGCAGGATTTAAGAAAAACATTAAGCTTAAAAAAAACGTGATGTATGCCACCACACCCAAACATTTCGTTTATTGTTGCATTTCAGTGGCTTGATTGGTTGTTCTTGGACCATGGTGTTTCTGAGTGGAGGATACAGAGTAAAGATCTATGATAAACAACCAGGACAGGCAGCCAAGGCAGTCCAGAATGTGAGGTAAGTGAAGACAATAACAAACTTGTAGCTACACATTAACAGAAAGTCCAAATCAGCATGACTTTTCAAAGGGAATATGTGTTTGACAATAAAATTTGAAACAGGTCTTCTTGTATTGTGTGACATGGCTGGTATTCATGATTAATCCAGTTTTCGCTTAAGCAGTTCTTTCTTTTTTCTGTTTATGTACATACACAGCACACCCCATATGCCTCCATTTTTGTCTCTCTTCAGTTCTTTATCAATGACTGATAGTCTGAAACATTTATTAAACCATGAGAATTTTTCCACTAGATTTCCACTAACGCCTGCATTATCAAGTCTCATTCTTTATTTGGTTTAAATTTGTTATAGAAGTAGGTGACACTGCATACATCTTAAATATATTGCAACCAGGAACCACGGGTTTATATGAATTTTAGCTTTATAAAAAATATTTTTGACTTAATTTAATCATGATTAGTGTACTGTGATATTGATGTACTGTGTGTGGGTACAGGTTGCAGATTGAGGAGCTACAGCAAAACCAAATGTTAAGGGGCAACCTAAACTCGGTGGAACAGCTAGCACTGCTCAGCAGCCATGAGAGTCTTTCAGAAGCTCTGGAGGGTGCCTTTTTTGTTCAGGTCAGTTCTTGCCCAATAGTAGCGCTTATTTAAATATGCTTATGATATACATTCTTGCATATTTTGTGGTAGCATTCTTCACTATAGTAAACCTGTCATGTGTGTCAGTATTCATCTGCCTGGATGAGAAAGATTTTAGTTGCTTCAGTAGCATGTACAACAATGGTCTACGTTAAGGGATATGGTTGCATAATTATGATCTCAGATTTGTGTGTGGCATGGGGATGGCACGGTGGCCCAGTGGTTAGCGCTGCTGCCTTACAGCAAGAAGGTTCTGGGTTCGGTCCCCAAGTCGGTTGTAAGACCTTTCTGTGTGGAGTTCACATGCTCTCCCTGTGTTCGCGTGGGTATCCGCTGGGGGCTCTGGTTTCCTCCAGCTGTCCAAAAGTGTGCACGATAAGTTAATTGGCGAATTTAAGTTGGCCCCGTAATTGTGTGTGAGTGTGTGCGCCCTGCGGTGTTTTGATGACTGCCCAGCCTGTTGTTCCCGGGATAGTTGTTCCCGGTGATGGATGGATGGATTTGTGTGTGTATTTGTGGCCCAGTAGGTCCATACAAGAAGGTCGCTGGTTCAAGTCCCGGGGCTGGTAGACTGATGTTGCAACAGCACTTACCCCACAAGTGCTTTGGGGTCACTGGACATTGGCTGACTCTGTGCAGTAACTCCCCAATACCCCCCCCCAAGGTTGTACTTATCTGTATGTGTGTCTCATAGAGTGCTGTCAAAAAGACAATTTCCTCATGGTGCTGAATAAATAATCACTATTCTATAATTCAGCAAAATTATTGATCTATACAAGCAGCTTGTTTACCTTTCTAACTGCTTCATCATATTGGAGTATTACAGACATTGATGAATTTGTGTAAGCTTTTGTGCAAAATTTACTATGGAGCCCTCTATATAGTGCATATATTATTAATTTGTATTTACCTAATTAATTGCTTAATTATTGTTACATTGGCATTGGGTGTATCCTCTCCGTAACAGTCTAGGTTTTTTTGTAACTTTGTTGCTATCTGTCAGTCTGCTTATTTATTTAATTTAGCCAAACATTCTGTCTGCTTTGCCTCTTAATTTTGTGTTATCTGCAAATGAGAAATTGAATAATTAGCTCTTAGTTGACAATGAATGTGTCACACTACTGAAAAAAGTTTCAGTCGGGGAGGGGCAGGGGTGAAGACTGCGGCAAATTGTTTTTTTGTGTGTTTTTTATTTCTCAACCAAAACATTTTGTCACTGCCAGAGGCGAGTCTTGTCAGAGACATCTTTGTCCATGTACAGAGAGTGTGATGATCCCTAGGGAGGGTCATGGCCGGTAAAAGGAAAAAATGGTTGGTGAAATAGAATTGGCGACTAAAAAAGGAAGTTTTCTCACAATTTCTATTTTTTCTCTTTCTTTTGATGCATTCTCTTTCTGTTCCTTTTTAAAGTATAGTCTTGTTGCTAATTGAATTAATAGTTTAGTAATGTGTTGGTTACTCATCATGTATGAATCTGTTGACAGGAGTGTGTCTTTGAAGACCTTGCGGTGAAGCAGGCTGTCTTTCACGAGCTGGAGGGCTGTGCCGGAAAGGATGTAATATTCAGCAGTTCCACATCCTGCTTGCTGCCAAGCAGTGTCTTCTCTGAAGTCCAGAACAGGATGCGCTGCGTTGTGTGCCATCCGGTCAGTGCTATGTCACCGTCTTCAGTTCTGTTTTTCACTGGACTCCATGACAATACTGAGACTATTGGCCTGTAAAATATTAGGGAAATTATGCATATTGATTTTGGCACTGAGGAACACACATTTTTAAAAGAAACGCTCTTGGGGAAACTTAATTTAATTCATTTAAATTATTATTTTTTTCCGTAAATTTATGGATTGCCTATATAAAACCAGGAAAGCTACAATTATATACTAAAATAGGATATACTGTATATACTATATATACTATAATATAGGATTATATACTAAAATTGAGAAATTGATAAAACGTATTACGTTGCGTATTTTTCCCAGTAGCAAAAATATATGATTAAAATAAACTATAAGTAATATGACCTAAAGGCTATATATTCCAGAACACTCCAGAGGAAGGTACAGTATTATTAAAATTTACAAGACAAAAGGTAATTGCTAACTACATTTTATAATATGACACAAATATAAATGGCATAAATAATGCTTTATTGCAAAATTTAATTTTTGAAGAACAACAAAGTCTTGTATGCATTGTCCCCCATGAACAACTGTGTTGATCTGTTTTTTTCTTCACTTTCCTTGACAATTTGCTATAAATGTAGCTTATACCATGCACTGTAAATGTGAATCATTTCTTTCGTACACATAAAAATATTACAACCACTGTACATCCCGTGCTTTTTTAAATGCATATTGAATTCATTGAGATTTTGTATATATTTGCACCAGTGAAAAAGTCTTACATTAATTTGCAATAATGGATTAAATGTATATTTGGCTAAATATGGAATCATTTAATAAAGTATGAATCTGTCCTGACTGCAGGTAAACCCACCCTACTTTGTGCGTTTGGTGGAGCTGGTTCCCCATCCAGAGACATTGCCTGTTGTGATGGACAGCACATTCACATTGATGACTGAGATAGGACAAGCACCTGTCCGTCTTATGAAGGAAATTGATGGCTTTGCTCTCAACCGTATTCAGTATGCAATTATTGCAGAGTCCTGGAGGCTAGTCAAGGTGGGTCAGGCTAATGGATCGAGACCCATGTGTTTTCATGAATTTGTAAATTACAGACGCTCCTCTACTTAGGAATGAAATACGTTCCGAATGGCCGTTCGTAACTTGAAATGTTCGTAAGTCGTTATTCAACATCATTTTAAGAGTATATTCAAGTACAAAGAACTAGGATGTTGGGAGTATGCACGCTACGCTGCTGCATGGTGGGAGTAGCAGCCAGATGTTGTACTAGGCGGAATTGGCACACAGAAAAAAAAAATTATGTTGCGGACAGGAAACGGGAGCCCAAATGAACACAATTTGGAATTTCAGTCCTCTTCGTTCGTATGTCTGAAAGTTCGTAAGTTGAAAGTTCGTAAGTAGAGGAGCGTCTGTATATACAAATGATTAGTTCATGTATGGCTAATCACTGAAAAACAAGAATGAAAAAAAAGAAGTATTTTTCTGTTACCTGGTCAAAGTAGGTAGTATGGACTGTACTCTAAATCATTGAATTGCTATGCTACTTAGGTTTTATGGTATGGTTGTTTCTTTATTACGGTTAGTTTGACAAGGCACTGTTTGAATATAGCAGCAAAATAAAGGGTGTGCAATACTACTTAACATGTTTTTAAGCCTTAAGCGTAATCACACTGACACATCATCTCTTATATGCTCCTACCCTCTTGTTTGCAGTGATGTCTTAATATCATATCAGTGCTTCAGACTGAGTACAGTATGGAGATTATATTCCAATTTCACTAGTTTGTCTCCTAAATTTATGTCTTTTCAACAATATATGCCTTCATAAACATGTGTTTCCAAGCCAAGGGTTGGAAGAGAGTTCCATTAGCTTACATTGCAAGTTACAGAACAGAGTGAGGTATGGGTGGTTGGTTGAAGGCGCAGCTTAAGGATCTTCGACTGTTGGCTGATTAATCTTCTTTTAAAAATGGTGTTCTGTCCTCTTCTGCAGGATGGGGTTATCTCTGTTCAGGACATCGACCTGGTGATGTCTGAAGGATTGGGCATGCGCTATGCTTTTAATGGTCCCCTGGAAACCATGCACCTCAATGCACCAGATGGTAGGTGACGACGACAGTGATCACAAAATACCATTGTTTTCTGTGTAATCTACTAAAGGATAATTACCTACACTTTGTCCAAGCAAAAAATTTGAGATTTAGTTTATATAAATTCATATTATATGACAATAATAATAATAATGACATATCTTGTCATTACAGTTACCTTTCTCATTAAATATTAAATATTATTTTATATATAGTGTGGGTCAGTTATCACTGTCAGTGTTTGTGTGTCAATTATACTACTTAAACCCTTTGTTTCTTAGTAGAGCATGTGTCATCAACAATATTTCTCCATTTTTTTTTGCTTTGGCCTGCTTTATCTGTTTCCTTTAAAATATACCCCGCTTCCTTCAATTTAGCTTGCAGTGATCTTTTCCAGCTGTTTCTAGGTTTCCTACCCCAATCCCCTATGGATTTCATTTTGGTGACTCTGACTTTCTGTTTAACTCTATTAGCCTGCTATCCTCCACAGATCTTCCTTATGGATTGTGTTTCTATTGTGGCCAAAATTAGGACCACGGAAACTTATTGATGAAGGTCTGGAATCTGTTATATGATGGTCTTCTTGTTCTACATATTTCTAATCTGTAGAGAAATATAGATATTTCTGTTATAATGGGACATATGTGTTCCTAAACCCTCTTATGCAGAATCACTCAATAAAAATAATTGAGCTTAAAAAAGAGTTATGGGTGGATCACCCTAATTAATTAAACCATTATTCTTTATGTTCAAAACACTTTATAAGATCAAGCTCTTTTAAAAATGTAAAATAACACATGCATGAATTAGGACCTTTTCCACTGAAGTTCAGAAGCATTGTTTCTGGTTCAGACTTCCTGGGCTGTCTCGAGCAGGAACCACAATAGGAGCAGGAGACGCAAAAAGCTCATAAATTAAACTTCACACATAATCTCATACAAAACAACACCATCACCCCAAAACAATGGAGGATGAGCAAGTCGTTTGGTTAATTAGGGGGATCAATCGCACACTCCAAAAATATGGGACAAATTGGATTTTACTTATACGGGCCATATTGAAATTTATTATTAAATCTGGCCAGCAGATTGATCTATTTTTCCACAGAAAAAGAAACAATGTAACGGTATTCCACTAATAAGCGCTGGCAAGTTTCATCTCCAGCACCACCAATATTAGTCAGGAGTATGCCAGTTATTGATCAAAATTTCCTATGCTGAACTATGGTGAGGCAAGCAAGAAAGGTATTCATCAATGTATTTAACGTAATTGATATAGAAAAAGTAATTCTATCTGCTAATTTTTTGCTCCGCTACTTCAATCTCTTTTCTCCACACTTTCGCATAACTTCCAAATTACCACCAGTACTTGTGGTCAGCCAGTCAGCAAGTTTATCACTATAAGCCCCCTGCCCCACCCCCAATAGTTCTTGGTTTTGCGAAAAGTATCTAGTCCAGGTTAGATACTTAAAAAGGTTCAGGAACTATCTCAGGGGAACTACAGTCGGGCTGAGTTCTTGCAGTGGGAATGTGACAAAAGCTCCTGGTTCCTGATATAGGTTCTGGTTCCTGAAAAAGGTTTCTGTGGTGGGAGAGCGCATATTAGCTTCAATATCAAATGTATACACTCAAGAACCAGCAACTTCAGGTGCATTACTACATAAATTGTGATGGATGAAATTACCAAAAAACCAATGAAAGATTTATGTTAGGGCTGAATGATTTATCGATTTCAAATCGAAACCACAGCTTGAAACAACACAATTAGCAAATCGCAAAGGCTGCGATTTAGGATAGCACACCTGACCCAGGGTTTAAAACTGTCCTGAGAATAGATTTGCAAATTCATGCCGTTCTCCTTGTGTGACAGTCATTCTCACCAATCAGAAGTGCCGTGCTCCTCGCATGCCAGGCATGCTCAGACCAATCAGAAGCGGCCTAAGGCAACTGCATATATGCCCACAAACAGCAAACACATGAAACCCAAGGAAATTGCTGTATTCGCAGTGCAAAAAAAAAACTGATTCTGCTGCTGAGCTATAAGTCAATTACCAAATTACCAAGAGTCTGAAAGCGTGTTAAGCCAGATGTGTGAGAGTTGGCAACCCTGGAAAGATAAATTTTTAAAATTGTTTTACCTGAATTGATTTGTATATAAATAACATTACTTTATACAGTTAAGAAGCGGAAACTTCAACCAACATGAAATCACCAATAAATGACATCTATTTATTCAACATTTTATAATGCATAAATTTTCTAAAACGCATACTGCGTTTGAAGACTTTTCAGCTCAACTATTTCAGGATAGATTCAGCCACTCCATTATTAACATTTCAGCTTTTTGGTTGAGAGTGTGAGATTCACTGCTGTTATTAACACTAATGGCACATTAGCTCAAACAAAAAGGCTGCATACACCGGAGTTCGTTTTGCTTGTTGTTCACTGGCGTGGGAAAATGCGGTTCTTGTGTTATTAGGGGTCCAAGCAGCATCATATGCAACATCGCTATTGTATTTCTTTTTACTTGAATTGTTCTCATTATTACTTCATTTAACTGAACACAGTCACATATTTGGTGATAGATTTATATTTGATTGTTCTGCTAACTTTAAAAAAGTAACAAATACATTTTGAAAGCAATTCATATCTTTAAGTTCTCATCCTTGCATTAGAATATAGACCAGTTAATGTTTTGGTGGTTTCTTATGTAGTAATGCTATATCATATATTTTAAATTTATTACACATTGAATACTGAAGCTTAACTTATAAAAAAGCATATTCCAATTTAAATGGTGATGGCAATATTTGTCAGAAAAATAGCAGTTAGATATTTTCCCCAAGTGGTTCAACCCTAATTTATGTTATATAGACATCTTTCCCCTATTTGTCAAACCTATATGTATTTTGGAAACATACATAATATCAGGACTGCCAGCACTGATTTTACATGTGTGTTGAATATTTGGAGCTTGGTGTTTGGGATACCTCCTTGGAGTTCCAGATGGGTCTGAGAGTCAGAAAAGCTATCCTTTCTTTCCCTATCTATTCCTGAATGCTGCTCTGCTCCTCTCATCCATTCTTCCCAATGATACTGCCAAGGTATGTGAAGATTTTAACTTCCTCCAGGTCTGTTCCTTCCAAACCTGATGCAATCATCACTGCTGTTTGTGTGCATGGCTTCGGTCTTGTTTTTATTGATAATGAACCCTGTGCTGGCTGATGAGGCTGCTAGCTGAGATTTAATTTGTGTGTTTCTGATGCTAGAACTTTGTCACCAACAATGTCTGTCATCCAACTGCAACCAATGTACCAAGTTCTGTCATTTTGTGTTTTTGTGCATGGTATATGTCTGTAGTTTTCCCTGTAAAAAACAGCTGTGCCCTGTGGTCTTTCAGGTTTGGAAGACTACTTAAGGCGTTACAAAGAGGGCATGCAGAGGGTTCTGTCATCTTTTGGGCCAGTTCCTGAGTTTTCTGACAATGAAGCAGAAGTATTTATTCAGGTCTGTATGCATTTTTTGCATAATATTATTGCAAGAATGCAGCCTTCAAATAGATCATAAATTTAAGTTTTAAGCTTAGTTTTGCTCTTCAAAAGCATGTTACAGGTCTCAAATAAATAATAATAATAATAATAATAATAATCATCATCATCATCGATAATTTCCCCATGGGGATCAATAAAGTATCTTTACGCCTCCCTCAGCTTGCTCTTTGTAAAGTAAGTTGTCCGCAAAGGGCAGCCACCCCTAGCGGCGCCCAGGGAGCTGGGGGTTAAGGACCCGCAGACGTGCTGAGGCTGAGTTTGAACCGGCGACCTTGTGATTACAGGCACACAGGCGTAGCCCATTTATAATGGAGGAAAATATTCCTTTTGAGATGTGATTTAGTATTTGGACTGATGGGGGAAACTGGGGTATGTTGAGGAAACTCGTGCAACATGGGGAGAACATCCAAAATCCACACACAGGGCAGAGATGACATTCAAACTCCTGCCCATGGCAACTGTGTTACCCACAGAGCCTTTGTGTAGCTCTCATTTTTGCATTAGATTATATATGTAAGGGCTATATTTTAATGTAACCCATCCTACTACGTGCCCGCGTCTGCACAGCACTCGTTCGTTCGCTTGCCGTTGAATTAGTCTCAGAACCGCGGACCACACGCGCATATGCGCTAGCGAGCCGAAAACCCATCCAGAGAATAACTTAGTGTAAGATTTCCTTGCTCCAACATCATGACAGAGCGTGAAACTGGCTGTTCTCTAATCGAATGGAGCAATCAGCCACTGTTCCTGCCTCCAAAGTCTCAAAATTCAACCTGTCAAGCGAGCAAGTGTTGTGCAGACACGAGCATGTAGAGAGGGTCCAGCGAGTGCGAGCACGAAGAGAGGATGGGTTTTCTGCTTCTGATCGCATGCATGCGCGTGGTCCGGCCAATCCACGTCCCATACTTACTTATTTAGTTTTCGGCAGCCTGTAAAAAAATAGCTTGTATTACTTGTTAAAACGATTTGTACAGTCAGTTGCACAACAGCTTTTTCCCATTTAACATGTGTTTTTTGCGGCATTCAAGCTGAATGCTAATGCTGCCACTCAGTGGGTGTGAGCGCGGTGACTTCCGCCTGCTGTGACGTCATGTGCATACCCTTTGCAGTAGGAGTAGCATAAGAACATCAGATAAGAGATACTAAGTTCTGTTGTTTCTTATTCTCCTATGCAGGACATGCGTAAACATATTCCCAGCAGCCAACTGTCAGTCCGGAGAGAGCAGCGAAATAACCTTGTTATGGGCTTGGCCAAGCTGAAGCAAATGTCTGAATAACTCTTTACTTGAAACTTGGTTAAAAAAGCAAGTCATGTTTAGATGATTTTAAATCTGAATGAATAATTCAAATATAGTACTAACAGTGGAACACTGACACTAACAGGAGCACTAGCAGTGGAAGAATGAATCGATGTCATAGCAAGCATGACAGAATAAAGTCATATTCTCTGTGTCTGGTGACTGGACGTGCCAGCTCCTTGCGAATCATTTACATACCCATCGCTGGTCTGCACGTGTACCAAATTACATTGAAATTGGACCATTACTTATGGGTGCTTATTTTTTTTTGTCACTGAGTGGAGATCTGTAAACTAATTAAGGTTCAAATGAAATAAATCAGTCATTCAGTTATAGTAACTTTCCACTCCATCCTGAGAAGGATAATACCCGATATCCCCTAAAAACAAAATATTTATAATATTACAAAAAAAAACTAATAATGTTTACAGGATTAGGGGAATGGGGTACCATTCTGGTTCAGAGGAATTATAGCCTCTCTACAAGAGTTGTGGGTTAGATTACATCCCTGACTCTCTGTGAGCACATGCTGTCCTTCACATTTCCTGCTGGTGCATAGGCTTCCTCCCAATACATGTAGTTAAAACTAGTGCCTCAGAATTGCTCATAGTGTGTCAATATGTAGCTTGTGATAGCACAGTATCCCAGCTTTCCCTATGCTTCCTGGGGTAGGGTTGCCAGCCTGCATAGAATAAATGGTTAAGGAAAGTAGATGGTTCAGGAATAACCAGATATGGAATCTTGTATTTTACATCAATAACCTAAAAACTCATTCTATTATGGTTTGGGAATTTCTTAATATCAGATTTATTTGTGCGTGATGACTTCTCATTAATAACAGTCATAGATTAGTTCTGCTTGGGCTCAGACCGAATATGTGTGATTGCAACCTTTTATCTTAGTCTATTGTGTTCTACTAGCTTCACAGCTTTGATAATATTGATTTTGACTAAGTGGAGTAATCCTGGGATGACTGTTTTCTCACACAGCTGCATTTTCTTTACTTTGTCACTTATATATTGAGTTGTTAAATAAACTATCCTAATATACAATATTGCCTAATGAAAATGAAATGATGCTTTATTTGCTTTTATGCTTTTCATGTATCTCTTCTTGTTCTAATTTGATAAACACATACACGCACACAGGTGAGAGCAAGGGTCTGAGGGTAGGGTAAATATTACATAATTACTATATAATTATTTATTAATTAATTCATTATAATTAGAAATTAATTAGGTTATGGGCCAGTTTGAATAAAAAGCAGCTTAGATTTGTATAATAAAAATTGTATAATAAAGTGACCCAATCAGTAAATCATTCACAATAGGAAAAAGTGTCACTATAATTAGTCCATTGAGTTTTGCTTATGGTGGAGTTTAGCTAAGAACAGTGAGAATTATCCTTCTTTTCATACATGTGAGAGGTATCATCCATACTGAAATGCACACAAAGGCAATTAAGGTAAAAAAATACAAAATAGGCTAGACAAGAACAACCCTGATGAGAACTTTACTGTTTTTGAGAACATGTGGTTTCATTCATTAAAGTGAATAACAAAAACTTTGGCAAATGGGTATAATGTTCTATTTACATAAGTAGGAATAAGGATTTAACTTTCCAAAATAGTATGCAGTATTAAACAGTGTGCATTATTGGATTGGTTTCTGCCTGAGGGTGTTTGGTAGTTGGTAAGATCGGTTCCATTACAGATTGTGACCTTGTTACAGACATATGGTATCTCAGGACCTTCCAGAATCGGCGGTTAGGAGGAGCTGTTGGATCCCCTCTGCATGGTTTCCACCTTAAAGCACCCTGCTTCTGCTTTACATACTTCACTGACTCTGGGAGAAGAGAGTAGTCAATGTTTTCATCCATCTCCAACAGAATGACTTGGAGTGTGTCCTTGATCAGAGCATCATAAAGGCCAATTTGCTGTTCAAATACGTCCTGGAACTGGTTTAGTCGTTCATTTTGGTCCAGATCATTTGGGCTTGTCGTTGAAACAACAATGATCATTCTCCTGCTTTTCCTAACAGTGTCAGCGATGATGTCATGGATTGCTGAAAAAATAACCTAATGGTTAACTTGCATAGTGGTTATAATAAAGTTGGTGCATTAGAGTGGCATAACTTTAAATAAAATACATCGTCATTCATTTATAACTTTTCATTCATTACTGCCTCATTCAATTTACCTTCATGTATACAGACTTATTGTTATACAACTGGTATAACTTTTGTGAGAGCAATTGAACGAAAGTGCACATTTAAAATGGCATGGTTCTTCTCAGGGGTAGATAACTCAGACAGAAAAATATATCTCAGTATGTGTGGCAGATTTGAATTTAAGTGCACATGCATTCTCCAAGACAGGTCAGGTGAATCTTACCCTCTCCAGGCAAATTGTCTCGTCCTCTAATGAAGAGTTTGTATCCATGCAGTCCTTCTAGCACCTCAGGCAGGATGTGCATGACAAAGTTCTCAGCGTGAGAAGAACACAGGTTGTTGTGATGAAGATAACTCACATAAGCATCGTAGAGTTTTCCATCTGAAACTGCACATTCCCAGAAAATGATTAAAGAATCAGGCATTCTTTTCTTGTTTTTGTACAGTGTAACAGGAAATCAAGTTCAAAAGATATCCAGGCCTTCAACAGCTTCAGACATTATCCAACACATCCAGATAACTTATTACAAAGGCTTTTGACTTTATCTCTGAGAATTTTTAACTGAACAGTTTGTTACCAAATGAAGTTTAAAGTTCAATATTTTGCAAATCCATGTTGTGTTAATTGGAAAGCCTTTGGCATTAATTTTAATTAAGATATGATTAATCATTAAAATATTTTGCTATTTCGAACTCAGAACAATGACACCTTCTGGAACGTAAGTTTCACTCTAAATCTCAGCCGTATCCCAAAACCGAATCCAGCCCTTTCTAAATTTCAGTGACAAGAAAAAGTGTGAATAAATAAGCACATATCCCCCCAATAAGAACCGCACTGTATACTACTACTACTACTATTATTATAATAATTATTATTATTATCATAAAGACTGAAATGTACCAAGAAACTGCCACAGTTATTCTATATGTACTTACTTGTATTGGGGCAGAAAACTTGCCGCATACCTCGGAAGGCCAATACCAAGTCAACCTTGAAGAAACAGTATACCACCGAGATGACAGCCATGGGTATAACCACACAGATTAAAACATGGATATAAAAGGTTCCATCATTGGCTAAGGAGGAAAAATGGGAAAAAAATTAATCCAGATTTCTTAATTTGCTTATTTATATCCATTTGTTCAGTTACTGTCTAACTCAAATACAATTCTGCATCATACAGCACAATAAAATCTGAATATTTATTTCAGTAATAATAATATACTTGTCTCGGTTACCTGGAGTCAGTTGTATCAGTCCCACATCACGCCCAACAGAGTTATAAACGATGCAGCGGAAAGGCACATGGAAAAACTCTTTCCGAACTTCACCAATAGACAATCTGGACACACTATACACCTTGGAACTCCCTTGTTTCACACTGGAAACCAGGCTTGTCAAAAGCAAAACAAATAAATACCGAAAAAGGCCACTTGTACACAAAAAACACTGAGCTTGTCAAAGAATTAAATCTAAACATTCTTCTATGTTTCTAGAACCTCTATATTATATTTACCAAAAATTTATTAGACTTTTTAGAATTTCTAATCATAAATCACCTTTGTTAGAGTACATTTGTTATGAGCTTATGACAAATGAGAAAAAAACTGGCTGCATGTTTTACTTACAATTCCAGTCGTTCACTCAGATCCTGGTATTGGTTAATAAAGGTGTAGTTGAACATCCAGTAGATTACAGTCTCATTCATTGCCTTTTCATTTAATCCAATAAATGCTTTACATTCTAACTCTGCATTCAAACCTGAACAACAAAAGTGTAGAAAATTATTAAGAATAACAGAAATAAGAACAAGTATTTCTCACATAAAACAATGTGTGACGCAGTGGTTTTTACTTGAAATATGAATTACATATATAATTCTTTCTAATTAATGATCATATTGCAGTAATGCCCCTACATGTAATTAATAGAATGTGCATAGAATGTGCAGTCTGACCCTAAAATATACAAAAAAAAATTGGTAACACTTTACTTAAGGCAGTGTTTTTAGTAATTTATTAACACATTCATACTGCATTGTGATACATTCATAAAGCATTATAAACATGGCTATAAATATTTATAAAAAGGCATAGCACATTATAGCCATGTTTATTGTGCATTATGACTGCCTTATGAGGCTCTCATTTATAATGGTTTTTATCACATTGTGGGGGGTAACACTTTACATGAGGGGACAATAATGTAATAATAATAATGTAATGTACAATAATGTAATAGTATACTGAATGCATTAATTGACCAGCAACTAAGTGTTTGTTAGTACTGATTCCATGTTCATTCATCATTAATGCATCATGACAGTTCATGTATTTCATGGGGAATTAATATATTAATTCTTACCATTATTAACTGATCAGTTAACTGTTAACTAATATAGTGCCTGAATGGAATACATGAAATTCATGACTGATTAGTGTTGAACAAGCATGGGATCAGTATGCAGCTAACGCTTATTTACTGGTTAATTAGTGCATCAATTAAGCATTATTCATGTCCCCTCAAGCAAAGTCGTCTTGTGGGGACATTTCGTCCCCACAATGTAATGTGTATCTGACCCACACATACACACAGAGTGTAGACAGGATTCAAACCCTGGAGGTGAAGCAACAGTGCTGCTCACTGAGACACCATACTGCCCTTTAAGGAAATGTTTTTGGTTCATTTTTAATTTTAATTTTAAAAGGTAGTAGCCAAGGGCGTCAGTGTTTTCAGTTTTTCTGGGGGCAGATCCATTTAATGATTGAGTTAAATTCATCCTCTCACATTATCTCATATATTGCACCTATGTATAGGCTACCCTTCCATTTTATGCATATGCAAATGACATCATTGACTAAAAGTTTTGTCCCTTGGTCAGTAGTTTAGATGAGAACTGAATTCTCCTGACAAATTTGCTCGTATTTCTAAAAGCAAAATCCGTGAAAATATTGGGTGGGGCAAACACCACTCTTTTCAATGTTAAGTAAGATGCCCCCCCCAATAGTTACACTTACAGAAATGGCATCCCATCCAGGGTGTACCCCAGCCTTCTGCAGGTACTCTGGTTTCCTCCCACAGTCCAAAGACATGGACTTAGGCTAATGGCACCTCTAAACTGCTCATACTATAACACAAAGGCTGTTAAACCCCCAGGCAATGTTGAAATAGAGTGAGGAGAAAATATGGTGGAATAAGATTTATTCAAACATTCCAGCTTTTTAAAGGGAAGTTTCTTGAATGCAATTCACAGAAAGTGAATTGCTTTGCAGAAGTGGCCACTGCTACCAGAATCACAGTTTTTCTATGGCAGAAGGTCTGTTATAAAGACAATAATGTAATGTGCAACTAAGGGTTTCTGTAGCACACGCAGTAAGTGAAGTAAGCCATCCTGTTGGCACCTAGGAACTGAAACTAACAGCCCGTTCTGTGAGATACAAAGTGTCCTATTTTACACCTGGTTCAAAGCGACACCATGCACAACACAAGTGTCTTTGCTGACATGAGCTCGACATACAGTAGTTGTCATTTTCCCATCCAGCATCTGAGTCGTTTGAACTTGCACCCATCTGAGCATGTGAATGATCATAAATATGCATGTCAAAATATTTTAAGAAGTATACACTATATGGAAAAAAGTATTGGGAAACACCTCTTATTCACTGAATTCAGGCATTTCATTCAGCCCCATTGTCACAGGTGTATAAGATCGAGCACCTAGCCATGCAGTCAGGTTTACAGGCATCAGTGAAAGAATGGGTCATTCTGAAGAGCTCAATGAAGTCAAGTGTGGTACTGTCATAGGATGCCACCTTTGCAACAAGTAAGTTCATGAAATTTCTTCCCTGCTAGATATTCCACAGTCAACTGGAAGTGGTATTATTGCAAAATGGAAGAATTTAAGAAAAGCAGAAACTCATCCATGAAGTGGCAGACCACGTAAAGTAACAGAACAGGGTTGCTCTGGAAGTGCTGAGGTGCAAAGTGCGTAAAAGTCGCCAACACTCTGCTGACTCAATAACTACAGAGTTCCAAACTTCCTCTGGCATTAACCTCAGCACAAAAATTGTGTGCCGGGAGCTTCTTGGCATGGATTTCAATGGCTGAGCAGCTGTACAGAAATCTCACATCACCAAGTGCAATGCCAAGCATTGGATGGAGTGGTGTAAAGCACACTGCCACTGGACTCTAGAGCAGTGGAAATATGTTTTACACAGTGATGAATCACACTTTTCTGTCTGACTGTCTGATGGATAAGTCTGGGTTTAGTAGATCCCAGAGGAACATATATTTTAAACAGTTTTTTCTTATTCCAGGTTTTGTACAGTTACATGATATAACATTTTTCATTGTAAAATGTATAACTGTATCCTATGTTTTTTCTTTGTTCCATCGTCCTTTGATGGGTATAAAATGCATGATTTTCGTGGCTCTGGCATCCCTTGATACATGATATTTTTTCATTGCTAAATCATCTTTTGAAAATTAAGCTCAAAATAATAAAGTACAATGTCAAATAATATGTTGTTTTCAAGATACAGAGTACAGGGTGAACAGAATTTACAAATCGCTCCTTGTTTTTATTAACATTTTCCATACTGTCCCACCTTTTTTGGAATTGGGGTCACATTAAATGGTACATTGAGAATAATATGATGAAATGTGATGTGTATGTAAGTTGTAATACTGCTAATCATGTACCTATACTTTCTTTAATAAATATTACATTAGGACCTGTAACAATTCCATTAGAAGAAATATATTCAAGCAAATAATATACCTGAATGAATGTGAATATTGTGGGGAATAAAGAATGACTATGGCGTAATCCACAAACTGAACATGACTAGCACTAAGTTTCCCCTCTAAGATGGGACATGCTTGTACCTCCCTTCTATATAAATTAAAATGAATAAGGTAATAGGGCAAAAGAACAGAAAAAACATTGTATTAACTTTGCAGGAAACATTGACACCAGAGTTTCTCAGAGAGCTTTGCTAAGTTGCTATTGAATCCATGCCTTTGAGCATGTTTACAGTATGACTTTACCTACCTGCTTTCACTGCCACAGTTTCATTTCGAGGTCGCATCACTTTAGGTGGCAGCAGTACTGGTTCTGCCAAAATAGACATCACAGCAAACACATGAGTATGAATAAATAAACAAATGAATACATAATTAATTTGAGAGATACCATAAAATACCACAGGGTACAATATGGTATAGTACAATATAAAGTGACATCACAATAAGTTATAAAACAGATTTTAGAATGTACTTCCTGCTGTTAATTTTAATCATCCATCAATCCATTGACTGCCACTTATCCAGGTCCAGATCGCAGGGCAGCAGCCTGAGCAGAGATACCCAGGTGTCCCACTCCCCAGCCACTTCCTCCAACTCCTCCAGAGGGATACCAAGGGGCTCTCAGGCCAGCCAAGAGATGTAATCTATCCAGTGTGTCCTGGGTCTGCCCAGGGTCTTGCCCTGATTGGACAGGCCTAGAGCACCTCCAAAGGGAGGCATCCAAGAGGCATCCTAGACAGATGCCCAAATCACTTCAGCTGGCTTTCGATGCAGGGGAGTAGCAGTTTTTTCACTGAGTCCATGTCAGATGTCCAAGCTCCTCACCCTATATACGTATATCTTTAAGGCTGAGCACAGACAATTTATGAAGGAAGCTCATTTTCACTATTTCTATAAGAGATCTCATAGGTAAGGGTAGGAATGCAGATTGACCAGTAAATCAAAAGCCTTTTGACTCAGCTCTCTCTTCACCATGACAGACCATAGCTGCTGATGCTGCACCGATCCAACTGTCAATCTCCCCATCCATTCTTTCCTCACTCATGAACAAGACCCTGAGATACTTGAACTCCTCAGCTTGGGGCTGTAACTCATCTCCAACCTGAAGGGGGCAATCTACCCTTTTCCAGTTAATAGCCATGGCCTCAGACTTGGAGGTGCTGATCCTCATTCCGGCCTGCAGCTGCAATCCATTCCAGTGTACACTGGAAGTCAATGAAGCCAACAGGACCACATATTCTACAAAGAGCAAAGATGTGATCCTGAGGTCACCAAACTGGACACCCTCCACCCCCTGGCTGCTCCTAGAAATTCTATCCATAAAGGAATTGGTGACAAAGGGCAGCACTGGTGGAGTCCACACTCACTGGGAACAAGTTACTGCCAGCAATATGTGCCTTTCCACCACAGTTCAGGAACCTAGTTGCTGCTTCCGAGTTCCTGAACCATCTTGACTGGGAACTTTTGTAGCTCCTGGGCACTTTCGTGTGTCGTTTTCCCATTGCATAACAGGAACAAGAAGTCGCAAAAAGCTTGTAGATTAAACTTTACATGTAATTTCATATGAAACTACACTGCCACCCTAAAACAATGGAGGATGAGCAAGTCATTATGTTAGTTATTAGGGAGATTGATCATGTGGTCTGAAAATTTGGGGCAAATCAATTTTTCTTTATGTTTTATTTATATGGCCCCAGACATTTATAATTCATTATACAATTGGGCCCACAGAACAACCTTTCTTTTTTCACACAATAAAAAAAAATATGCAAATTATCAGTAGTTTAGCACTGGCAAGTTTCATCTACAGCATCAGCAGTATTAGACATATGCCATTATCAATTGAATTTTTTGATGCAGAAATATGGGCTCATGGGAGTTTTACTTACACAAAACTGTTCTGAGGGCAGAATGAAAAATGGTTGGTTCAGAGAGATAACCAATCAAACTGTAGAGGAGGTGGGTCCAAGCATCTTGAGGAGGCAGGACCAACCAATCAGATGTCTTTGTCCCGCCTCCTCTAATTGCTTGGACCCACCTTCCACCTCCACTTTGACTTTTTGTTCTTCTCTCAGGACAATTTTGTGTAATGCAATTAAGATACAAAAATAATTCCAATATTTTCCTTCAGTACTTCTATCTCTTATCCTGACACTTCTGCACAACTTCCAAGATAGTGCTGGTGCTTGTGGTTGACCAACCAGCAAAGTTTATCTTAGACTCCACCCAGTAATTCATGGTCAAACTAAAGTAGCAGGGAGGAGGGACCAAAAAGGTTCAGGAACTACCTCAGAGGAACTATAATCAGGCCAATATCCTGTGGTAAGAACATGTCAGAAGTTCCTGGTTACTGAAAAATGTTCCTTGTGAGGATAAAGAGCTGATCCAGCATTCCACGACCAAGACAAAATCCACATTGTTCCTCCTGGATCCAAGGTTCAACCCATGGTCAGACCCTCCTCTCCAGTACCCTAGCATAGGCTTTCCCAGGGAGGTTGAGGAGTGTGGTCCTCCTGAAGTTGGAACTTTCTTAATGATTGGGAGCACCACCATAGTCTTCCAATCCAGAAGCACTCTGTCCAATCTCCACGCAGGCATGTCAGCAGAGACAGTTCAACAACATAAAGAGCCTTCAGAAACTCAGATTGAATCTCATCCGCCCTCAGAGCCTTACTATCGATGAGTTTTTTTTACTACATCATTGACTTCAATCCTAATGATGGGCAAGTCCTCCTCTGAATCTTAATACCCTCCTTCCTTCAAGGAAGGCATGTTAATGGGATGTAGGAGGTCTTCAAAGCATTCCATCCACCACCTGACAATATCCTCAGTTGAGGGTCAACAACACTCCTTCCCTTCTGGAAACAACATGTGAAAACCCCTGTTTCCTCCTTCTGATTGCCTGACAGTTTGCCTGAATCTCTTTGAGGCTGACCAAAAGACATTTTCCATAGTCTCATAAAACTCCTCCTACACCACAGGTTTTGCTTCCACACTGCCAAAGCCACATTTTGCTTAGCCTATTGATACATTTTAGCACAAACTAACCAGGCTTAGAAGGCTTCCTTCTTCAGCCTTACGACTCCCTTTACCACTGGTGTCCGCCACTGGGTTTAGGGCTTGCCACCGCAGCAGGTACTAACAAACTTAGGGCTGCAGCTCTGCACAGCCACCTCAGGAATGGAGACACAGAACATTGCTCATTTAGGCTCAATGTCTCCAACCTCCCTTGTAATGCAAGGGAAGTTCTGCTGGGGGTGTGAGTTGAATATCTCCTGGACAGGGGCCTCTGCTGGAAGCATACCCTCACTATATGGTTGTGTTAACCACATCTGTCTGACATTTCCCCCCATCATCTTATCCAACTCATCACCAAGTGGTGATTAGATGACAACTCAGCTGCTCTCTTTACCCAAGTGCTGGAGACATGCAGTTGCAGATCCAGTGATAAAATTACACAATCTGTCATCAAGCTATGGCCTAGGGTGTTCTGGTAGATGCACTTATGAACACCCTTATGATCAAACATTGTGTTTGTTATGGAAAAATTGTGGTTAGTACAGAAGTCCCATAACAGAGCACCATTTGGGTACAGATTGGCAGGCTGCTCCTTCCAATCGCTCCCCTTCAAATTTCACTGCTGTTATCCATCTGAGCATTAAAGAGCAATGTAGTCTTCAGAGTGGATGCAATCCAGAACCCCACCCTAGGTCTCCAAGAAGGCCAAACACTCTGAAGTAATCGGTGTATAAACACAGACAACATTCAGAGCCCATCCCACAACTCGAGTTCGAAGGGAGGCAACCCTCTCTTTCACCAAGGTGAACTCTAATGTACAAGCACTGAGCTGGGATGCTATGAGTAAACACATACCAGCCCAATACCTCTCACCCATGGCAACTCCAGAGTGGAATAGAGTCCAGCCCCTTTCCAGAAAGTTGGTTCCAGGACTAACACCATGCATTGAGATGACATTTCATGTCCCTAAAGCTGGTTTTGGTAGCTGATGATTGGACTGGCAAGGCCCCTGCCTTCGACTGCTGACTGATTTACATATTTACATTGCACTGGACCCCCATGCCCCCATGTAGATTGTGGGCCTACAAGAGGACCTTTATACATATTATTGACATTTTGTGCTAACAATTAAATACATTCAGTATTATTGAACACAACCAGGGAGGGTGGTATAATTGTTACTGGAAACAATATGAATATTAAACAAAAAAAAAATCACATCTGAAATTGCAAACATAGAATATTTAATTTTTACCATTCTTAACTTTCAGTAGGGTTGTCCATGATGCCGTGTAGTTCCTATTCTCATAAATAAAATTTATCTGACATGTGTATTTTCCAGCACTCTTCTCGGTGATGTTACGCATTAGGATTTTTTGATCATGTCTACCTAATGGGTTACAGTCCTGCAAAAATAATTCATTTATTATTTTTTTTGTATAAAGACAAAAAAAACAGAAATTGTGTGACATGAAATTAAATTTCACAGTTCAAACAGAGACAACGGAATACTTATTTAAGTATTTCAGTACTGTTATACTGTTTATGGACTTTGAATGTGTCTAAATTTAATATTGAGGGTCAACAACACTCCTTCCCTTCTGGAAACAATATTAATACTTAATATTATTAGAGTTTCCCCTGACATGGTGTCTTACCTTTAACCAATTCACTTCCACTTTCTGACCGATAGTGAAGATAATGTCCTGCCTGCAGGAGAGTTTGCGAGTGGTTCCCAACTGAAACTGTTTTATGTCACTTTGGCGTGGACAAAAACCACTTTCCACAGAAAGGATCATCTTTGTTATGTTTCTTCTGTTGCTGTGGAATTATTTTAATGACACATAAATAGATGGAGATGGAAAACCAACAAAAAAGATTAAAGCGCTTTCCCCTAGAGTGAAAAATTACCTGAATCTCTGTAGTATTTCGACCCAAAACATGATCCTCTCTCTATTAATTTAACCCAAAACTGAAAAAGTTGGGGGGGGGGGGCTTTAGTGTTATTCTGCTGGGTGTTGCCTAGTTTTGGCAGCTGTAGAAGTGTCACAGAAGATATGAGTACAATCACCCCAGCACTTCTGCGCAGTGATACGATTGGTGTGTGGAGTTTGGTAGAAGAAAATAGTATACACTCACCTAAAGGATTATTAGGAACACCATACTAATATGGTGTTTGACCCTATTTCGCCTTCAGAACTGCCTTAATTCTACGTGGCATTGATTCAACAAGGTGCTGAAAGCATTCTTTAGAAATGTTGGCCCATATTGATAGGATAGCATCTTGCAGTTGATGGAGATTTTTGGGATGTACATCCAGGGCACGAAGCTCCCGTTCCACCACATCCCAAAGATGCTCTATTGGGTTGAGATCTGGTGACTGTGGGGGCCATTTTAGTACAGTGAACTCATTGTCATGTTCAAGAAACCAATTTGAAATGATTTGAGCTTTGTGACATGGTGCATTATCCTGCTGGAAGTAGCCATCAGAGGATGGGTACATGGTGGTCATAAAGGGGTGGACATGGTCAGAAACAATGCTCAGGTAGGCCGTGGCATTTAAACGATGCCCAATTGGCACTAAGGGGCCTAAAGTGTGCCAAGAAAACATCCCCCACACCATTACACCACCACCACCAGCCTGCACAGTGGTAACAAGGCATGATGAATCCATGTTCTCATTCTGTTTACGCCAAATTCTGACTCTACCATTTGAATGTCTCAACAGAAATCGAGACTCATCAGACCAGGCAACATTTTTCCAGTCTTCAACTGTCCAATTTTGGTGAGCTCGTGCAAATTGTAGCCTCTTTTTCCTATTTGTGGTGGAGATGAGTGGTACCCGGTGGGGTCTTCTGCTGTTGTAGCCCATCCGCCTCAAGGTTGTGCGTGTTGTGGCTTCACAAATGCTTTGCTGCATACCTCGGTTGTAACGAGTGGTTATTTCAGTCAAAGTTGCTCTTCTATCAGCTTGAATCAGTCGGCCCATTCTCCTCTGACCTCTAGCATCAACAAGGCATTTTCGCCCACAGGACTGCTGCATACTGGATGTTTTTCCCTTTGCACACCATTCTTTGTAAACCCTAGAAATGGTTGTGCGTGAAAATCCCAGTAACTGAGCAGATTGTGAAATACTCAGACCGGCCCGTCTGGCACCAACAACCATGCCACGCTCAAAATTGCTTAAATCACCTTTCTTTCCCATTCTGACATTCAGTTTGGAGTTCAGGAGATTGTCTTGACCAGGACCACACCCCTAAATGCATTGAAACAACTGCCATGTGATTGGTTGATTAGATAATTGCATTAATGAGAAATTGAACAGGTGTTCCTAATAATCCTTTAGGTGAGTGTATAATAGTATATAAACTGCTCACTGAATTATCTTAAGTAACTGGGTCATAATTTCTGGTAAGAGACATTGCTGTTGAATTTTTCAAATGTATTATTGGAGCTTTAATCACCACAGAAAGAATGCCATTCAGTCCCATTATATCGAAGAGAAGACCAACGTTCCTATGATCAATATTTCCAAAACTAGTCAACTCCCAGCAGAACAACCTAGATGAATAGATAGCACTAAAGCCCCACTGAAATATATATCTTTTTCAGTTTTGTCAATGAAACTTCTAATACAGTCTGTTACAAATTTTTGCTTTGTTAATAACATTCCCATCACCATTTTTAATGCAGTATTACATTTTTAATAAAAAAATTTGACCAAAAGTATCAATTGTAATTTTGGCAAGAAAAATTCTACAGAACACTAGATTTATGAACGTTAGAATGGGCTGAAGGCTAAAGACTGAAGATCTGCAACCATTACCCTAAGGTTCATATTATACCTTGTTGTTGGAGTTATTGTTTTGGATCACTACTACTAGGAACTACAGCTCTGGAAAAAATTTAGAGACCAAAGCACAATTTTTTAGATTCACTTCCTTTTCAATGTATGGGTATGCTCTCCTTGGATTGCCACCTTATCGTGGTAGAGGGGTTTGCATGCCTTAGTGACCCTGGGGGCTAAGTTGTTGGGGGCAGTTGCCCCTGGTAGGTTCTCCCAAGGCAAAAAGGTCCAAGGTGAGGGGTCAGACGAAGAGCAATCCAAAAAATCCTATAATGAAAAAGTATCACAGCAAGGTCTCGTTACCCTCGCCAAGAGCCCACCCCAGAGCCAGGCCTGGGGAGGGGCACATTGGAGAGTGCCTGGTGGCTGGGCATTGGCCCGTGGGGTCTGGCTGGGCCCAGCCTGAAAGAGGTACACGGAACTGTCCCCAGGTGGACCCACCACCTGCAAGGGCAATGTCATAGGTGCGATGTGGATCAGGTGGCAGCCAAGAGAGACCCTGGCGGACCAATCCTCTGCTGACTAAACTGGCTTTTGGGACATGGAATGTCACCTCTCTCATGTCTGAGCTTGTGTGTGAGGCTGAGAGATACTGGCTAGATATAGTCGGGCTCACCTCAACACATAGCATGGGCTCTGGAACTAATCTCCTGAAGAGGGGCTGGATACTCTTTTCTTCTAGAGTTGCAGCGGATGAGCGATGCCGGGCTGGGGTAGGGCTACTGGTGGCCCCACAGCCATTAACATCGGAGTTTACCCGGGTGGACAAGAGGACTATCTCCCTGCGCCTATGGGTTGGGGAGAGGTTTCTGTCATTTGTGCCTAGGCGCCAAATGACAGTTCGGAGTCCCCAGCCTTCTTGGACTGCCTGAGTGGTGTGCTGGTTTGCACACCACGAGGGGATTCCATCGTTTTGCTGGGGGACTTCAACGCTCACGTGGGCAATGACAGTGTGGCCTGGAGAGGGGTGATTTGGAGGAACGGACCCCTTATCTGACCAGAGCAGTGTTCTGTTGTTGGACTTCTGTGCAATGCATAGTTTGTCCATAACAAACACCATGTTCGAGCATAAGGGTGTCCATAAATGGACATGGTATGAACATACCCAGGGCTACAGGTCAATGATCGATTATATAATCATATCAGCTGATCAACGGCCTTCTGTCTTGAACACTTGGGTGAAGAGAGGGGCAGAGCTGTCAACTGATCACCACCTGGTAGTGAGTTGGTGTCAGCCTCAAAAAGCTTCTGGCAAACCATCCGCAATATCAGGAGGGAGAAGCTGCTCCTGGTTCCTACTGTTAACAGTGGGGAGGGGGTGCTGAAAACCTCCTGGGCGGTTACCTGGAGAGGTTTTCTGTGCATATCCTAAATGGAGGAGGCCCCGGGGCAGACCCAGGAAGCGCTGGAGGGATTATATCTCTTGGCTGGCCTGGGAACGCCTTGGCACCCCCCCAGAAGAGCTGGTAGAGGTGGCTGGGGAGAGGGAGGTCTGGTATCTCTCCTGAAGTTGTTACCCCCGTGACCCGGATCCCGGACATGCAGATAGTGATGGATGGATGGATATGCTTTTGTATACAATTTTTTTTTTTTTGTTAAATCCAACCTAGCTGTTCTCTGTTTTCCATTGATGAAGGGTTTCTGCCATGCTTTATGGAACTTCAGTCCTGCTTCTAGGAGCCTGTTACAAACTTGTCCTAGCAGTGCACTTCACACCACTTAATGTTTCCCATTTTTTTTGATGGTCACTTGATGACATTCTCTGATTTATGGTAAGCTGGCGATCATCTCTGGCATTAGAAAGTCGCTTATACCCTCTACTTGGCTAGTTTTTGGACATTCCCAGTGTCTCCTGTTTCATATTGTTCTTGTGTACTGCGATCTTAGTAATTTTGAGTCTGGAAGCACCCTGCCGCTCAGTTTAGCCTTCTGCCAGCAAACCAGGTTTAAACCAGGATTTATCAATGCAGATTTTTTTTTAAATGGAGTGGTCTCTCAAATTTTTCCAGAACTGTACAGTATATGATCACAATAGTGAATGTCCACTACCTATCTGCAGGGTTGTATAGTCAGGTTTTGAAAAATAGAGGAGAGGTCCAAGACCCGTGAGTGGGTCTCGTCAATCATACGCCACATCTGGGAGGCCTATTTCTACATATATAAAAAATGGATCGGATGTATTTTGTTAATGAATTTAGGTCTAAGTCAAGAACATTACAGAGCAGTAAAATATTATGGGTATGAAGCATGTTATATACAAAGTTATATGGTTATTTGTAACCATATATAAACATAAAAATTAAAAAGAAATGCTTGATATTAACATTATTACAAGCTAAGCTATACACTTGCTTTGATTTTAATAACGTAATCTACCCGTAATATGGCATGATATGAAAGAAATCCAACTTTTAATATGGCCAGAGTAGCTTGGCCAGAGTAGCCTGGCCAGAGTAGCCTGGCCAGAGTAGCCTGGCCAGAGTAGCCTGGCCAGAGTAGCCTGGCCAGAGTAGCCTAGCCTGAACTTATATTTAACATGTTTCATGCAATTATCTTTACTCCAGACGGTGTACCAGGTCGCTGTTTTGGAACGTTTTTGATACGCTGTCTGCACACAATGCTGCATGATCACATGCACACAACGCAAATTCAAAATGCTTGCAGTAAATTGCATGTGTGTGAGCCTCTATCATGCTATCTAACTGAATGCTCTCTCTATCAGATATTTTCAACTGCTGTTTTTTTATATTCGGGTTATATTTAGCTTCAGATTTTATTGTAAAATGACCAAGGTCTGGACGTCGGTCTCCTCATGGCTCCCTACCTATCTGGCAATGAGCTGATCTTATTGTTCTCAAAACACTTTCTGTATAATCATGGGGAGGGGGTTCACATACCTTTTTTTCATAAAGTAAATGGCAACATATTCCATAAAGGCAAAGTGTATAGTACACGCATATACCTGTATCACATTTCTTCAAACTTTATCTGTCTTTGCTATAGTAAGCAGCACATAAAGAGGAAACTACAATCTATACAAACTATAAAATAATTCTGCTTAGCTATGTAGTCACGCAACCATTCAGAATGAAATATGCAATGCTTTCAGTGATATCAACACTGATTTACCTTGTTTTTACCTACCTGCAGGTATAATATCCACTGTCCGAAAGTTTGACAGGTAAAAACCATAGCGAGTCCTCCATTTTTTTGATGCGTTGGCTTGTCACATCTAGAGTATGGTTATCATCTCTACTCCAGCTTAGTGTCTGATTGTCCATTTGAGTTGTGTAAAGATCACAATTCAGTTTATAGAAATGTCCTTCAACTGTAAAGTATGTATCTATTTGGTCCTGTTGACCTGAAAACCAAAAGAAAGATCAACATATGAAATTTCCAGTGGGAAGCAAATTACTAATCTCACTCACTCTTCTGTCAAAAGAAAGGTAAAACAAACAGACAGACACACACACACACACACATACATACGTCTGTGTGTGTATAGAAATAACATGAGAAAGAGATTTTAACAGGCTGAAGTCATTAATGATAAAATAAAATAATGTTACACTTAAGGCACTGGTTACCCAGAGCATTGATCTGACATTACAAATATAAATATTTTATCTTATGACAGCATCATCATTTCCTTGCTTATTTTAGTATTCTATTTTTTATACTATTATTCTGCACACAAATTCCTTTTTACTATAATAAACATCCTGTTTGTCCACCTTACCATCTTTCCAGGCATATGCAGCAAGTAGGAAACCCATCCAGAAGAAAATGCAACTGTATTCTCTCATATTACATTCGTGAAGAACATAGAATTAGTTTATACTACAATTTTTTTCAAATAACCTTTTCTTCTCTAAATGACCAATACTTTTATTACTGGTAACACTACTACTGCTGAGCATTTGCGTATTCTAAGCTCTGCTGAATAACCTCTGGATTGTTCACTGGAGTTTCCCTTTATCAAAAAAGATTTATTTCCTGCATGTCAGTGTGGTGTAAACAAGGATGTTCATTTTTTCCTTTAACCGTATAGGCTATATGCCATGACATATTGCAGCGGCATTTACAAATGTGGTCATACGCCTATGTTTTTCTAGACCCTATTTAGCTGGGCTTCTGCCCCCTTATTTTTGTCTCAGCCCCACTGAAACAGTTTTTCTAAAACCATTTAGCGATTTGTCCTAGATTTTGACATAGATCTACATTTTCGTACCCATGGCTCGGCAAACTTTACTGCGGGGATGTCCCTCCTTTGGGCAAATATAATCATGGGGCCATGACGACCCATATTTCATCAGAGGGTTGAGCTCCCCGAAGCGTAACATCCTGCAATCGCCCCTTGTCATATGCAATAATTTAGGTAATGTTCATAGGTCAGTGTCACTATCAAACTTGTTAAAATATTGACACATTTAATTAACAGACTGAAACTGTCATGCCCGGCTCGTCCGATCCTCGTGTGTGCAACGCCCCCCTCGTTACCTCGTGTTAATTCCCGATTGTCATTACCTGTTGCCTGTTATGTTCAACTTGTTCCGTGTATTTAGTCCGTGTCTGAGTCAGTATTCCCCAGATCCGTCATTGATGTTTGTCGCTGTCAGCCCCGTTTGCGCTAATAAAACCCCGTTTGCGCTAATAAAACCCCGTTTGCCTGTATTTACTGCTCGACTTGCCTGCTTTCCCGCTCGCCTGCTTGCCTACACAACAGAAACATCTGTTTAATCATATTTATGTGGTTATGTAAATCATACATTATTGAAGAGGCAGGCAATGCAACAAATAGAAACAGCAGCATGGTGTGAGAGGAGATAGTGCTGTTTAATATCTTTAACTTCCACTTCCAATCCTCTCACACCTTTCACACACCTGTGTAGTCTGCATTGAGGGACACTTTTCAGATGGGCTGTCACTGTACAGTATGGTGGGAAGGAGGCTGGTATTCATGCTTATCAAATCCTGTAGAGGAAACCACACACGCAGAATGGAAGTGGGATCTGAACAGAGATCAGATCTACTGAGCCATCATGCTGCCCCAAATCTTAGATGAAATGCAAATTTCCAAGCACTGGAAATGACCAAATCAGCCCTGAACCCCCCACCCCCTAAAGAAACATGGTAATCCCACAATATCGATAGGGACATCTACACCATTGTACATTTAGCATCAAAATATACATAAAGTAAAATAGACCCGTTGGACAAGTGGTAGAACTGGGCTGGACCACAGGAATTTCAATTCTATTTATTTTTATATAGTGCCTTTCACATTTGCCTCAAGACACTGGGCAAGATTATTAGTTCATGCATTCCAAATGACTCGTGATACAGACAAAAGGGGAAGAGGGAATGACCACTAGAAGACAAAAGACAAGAGGAACCAAAAACTCCTTATTAAGAAGAAGAAAAAAAAAGAAAAAAGTCTGACCGGCTACCCAACTCCCCCAGCATACAATAGGTTGTTAGCTGAGATTTACAAACTGAGACCAGTTCAGCATAATATGCTTAAAGTCGCAGAATGTTCCATAATCTAGGGACCCTGTAGCTTTAGCTCCAACAGTTATTTTATTCGTATTTGGGATAACAAGGAGATCCTTTTTTGTCTGATTGTGGCTTGTCTGTAAAATGTTCACTACTAATACTATGGTAACACTTTAGTTGACAAGGCACAAACAGTAATAACTCAGTTACTACTGAAGTCCAAATAATGCGACAAATAGAAACAGTGGCATGGTGTGAGAGGAGATACTATATTTGTATCAACAGCATTTGTATCAACTAAAGATAAAAGATGCGTTATGATTCATTAAAACGATGAACAAACATTAGTATTTCACTAGTGTTGTTCATTACTTGTTCCTTCAGTAGTTCACAAAGGTTTACAGAATTAACAGATATAGTAACAAATATAGTAACTGCTTGGGATGAAAGATGCATCATGATTCATTAATGATGAATTACTATGAGATCAGCATGTAACAAACTTAGTTTGTGGTTAATTAATATATGAGTAATAGTACAATATTTGTGCAGTCAAGTACTAATGTTCACTATTACAGATTCAGCCTCATTTACTAAACTGTTGTCATAATTAGGTTGTGACGGTTATTTCTGTTTCAAAGGATACAGTTATAAGCTGTACAAGCCCTTTCTTATTATATTGCTCCAGGATATCAGACCATGCAGATTTAAACAATTCTAACCCCGCAGACTTTAATTTCCACTGTAATCTGCGGTACTCCTTTGAGAACTGGTATAATCATTAAACCATGGGTATTATCTGGGGGTTGACTACTTTACTCTTCAAATCAACTTTAAGGTTACTTCCTTAACGTTTGTACTAGAAACCAAGTTTGTTTCCTTAACTCATTTGAGATACTAAGGGGGCCCCACCTCAGGGAAAATGGAATGACTGTTTCTGTGATCTTTATCTCAAATCTGGATTTTTTTGCTTAGCTGGACAACTTGTAAGACTTAAAGTGTATGTATCTCTCTCTCATACATACTGTATATCATATATATGTATGTTTGTGTATGTATATCCTCCTGAGACCCCACCCATTCATTTATGTCCATTGTAGTGGACATTTTGTTTTTATCTTTTCACGGATGTAAGGAAATGTATTCATTCCTGTTGTACACTAAAGAGGACATGCTGTGAAATTAAAAATAAAAATAAATTTTAAAAAATCTAAATTGTAAAATGTCTCATTTCCTCCAAAGACAAATAACCTAAAATTGAAGGACACTTTTTTCCTTGGGTCTCAAACCTATATTATTTGGAAACATTAAAGAGGAATACATATGCAGTCAATTCAGAATCCAAAATGATATTACAAGTGCATATCTGAGAGTAGTAGTTTTCAGTCAGAAAACCTATAATCTGTTTTTTTAGGTCAGAGAAAAAACAGTGCCTGACTAATTCAATCTCCTACCTCATGAACTAGAATGACATAAACCACTACCTAGAAAAAAAGTACAGTTCTGAGACTTGTGGTCAGGCAGTTCCTGTTTTAACAGAGAAACAACTAACTGCTTCAAACTAGTTATGACTGATTCTGTAGTTAGGGTTAAAGGCCGGTTCATACTTCTCACGTGTCCACTCGAACGTTTATGACCCATTTAATGTAATTGTGCACCTCCGCAGATGAACATCTGTTGCACTCTAAATGTGAGTCCACGCAGTGGTGTCTGTGCAGCTCAGGACATACTGCACATGATCAATTCACTAGCATCCACTTTAAATACCAACATGGATGCTTTTGAGAAGTGTTGGGGTTGTTTGCAAACCCTACAGCAGGGTTATTCAACTCACGGTCCTCAAGGGCCAAGCCCTGCTGATTTTCCAGCCTTCCTTCACCTGTGAGCCAGGTGTGAAGCCTCTGACCAATCAGAATCAGTAATTATTAAACTAACTACCTGGGAGAACTGAAAACAAGGCCGGGATTTGGAATCAAGGGCCTGAATTGAATAGCCCTGCCCTACAGGCTATTTAGAAGGTCATAAAACTGTTATGCACATGTAAATGCGAGTATGTGAGTGCAGACATGTCTCCAAATATGTACTTCTGGAAGGAAAAGAAAGTTCATGGCAAAAGTACATCCAAAATTTATTTTACCTGTCTGTTAATTTTTATAAAATTTTATACAGAATTTTATACAGAATAAAAAAAAAATTATAACTGTTGTCATTATGTAATATTGATAATAAGATCAGTCATTTTAACGCCTTAAGTACTCAGAACCATTTTCTTCCTCCTCTGTATATGAAACACAAGTTTCTGTGTCTGAACTCCCAGCTGTATCAGTCCGAAAGGGGAGAGATGAATCACCCCCTTCCCACCACAGAAGAGAATCTAACTGCAAAGAATCCTCATTATCCTGTTCTTCTGGTTTTTCCTCTTCACGCTTTTCCAGAGTGACAGAAAGATTAACATCTGGGCAGCTCCTTTGCAAAGTATCTTCATTATCCTGTTCTTCTGGTTTCTCCTCTTCATGCTTTCCCAGAGTGACAGACAGCAGGTTAATATCCTGGCAGCTCCCTTTATCCTCCTCTTCTTCTTCATTTATCATAGACTCTGAGATCTTGAAGCCAAATTGGAATACTGATCTTGAACCCAGTTCACGTACACAATGGTCTTGTGAATTTTGATTGGTAATATCAGCATTGGAACGGCATTTGAATGGAATATCTTTTGATCCAGTTACAGATACAGTTAAAGACTCTGACTGGCTAACTGTAAATTTGGAGAGAAACTGATTTTCTGTCATGTTTGAAGGAGGAGAAACTGGAAGCAAAGTGGAAGAAGAGTTGTCTGTGATATGGGCACAACGGTCCATCTGTTCAGTCCACCTTTCATAGTTTCCAATGCTCTTCTTTGTCCCCGTCACTGCCTGCTCACTATTGTCTTCCTCATTACTCTTTTCCTTATCATTCTTGCTTTGGCTAATAGTGCTTATTGAATCTTTTACAAATACCTTTGAAAACACTGGTATATCATAACCCGAGGAAAACAGGAGCACATCATGGGATTTTACAGATTTCTGTAATGTAGAGAGATGAAAAGGGAAAGTTCAGAGAAGGGTTTTTATATATGTGCATCACCAGGCATGGTAATCAGAGGCAGTTTTTTATGCCACAACTATCTGCTTAATGTCAATGTCAGCTGAAACACTGTTTGATTTCACTGGGAAATTTCATCACATACTGTACTTCAGTATATTTCAGTATATTTATTCTATTAACCGTTGGCCACTGAAGTTTTTCTAGAATCAAATGCAGAGCTTCTACAGCTGTAAAATCGGCATTTTTTAAATAGGCATTTAAATATCTATATTTTATAATGACTTACACTTAATAATTGGGCCTGAATGATATTAAAAAATTAGTTTCAGACACCAATAGAGACTTTTCAGGCAGATATTACTTCGTATGGTGAAATTTTAGGCACTAATACTTTTAAACAGTGCTCTGCTGACTGATAAAATGTAGTTCATGTTGTGAAACATGAAAAAAAAGAACCCAAAAAAATCTTAAGAAACATAAATATGAAACAAGTCACTTATACGTAATGTTATAACTTTAAAACAAGTAAAACACAATGTCGAGCTCAAACACATTGTCTGTTCTACTTAACAAAAGCACCTCAACAATGTAGCATAATGTAAGAACCAGTTAATTTTGTCACCAAGATTTTACAATACTGCAGTGTATAATACTGTGGTATACCCAAACTGCCAAGGTATACGGTATTAACTTGATAATGCCCATACCCAGCCCCACCTAATACACAGCTGTATATACATTAATAAAATAACTCCTTACCAGTACATTTGGGAGAGGTGATTTTGAGAAGAACCTTGTGCAAAAATATTTGCCGATGAAAACCAAAGGAAAAAGCATCAAAAAAAAGACGACATTTGCAATCTGTTTCTCTACAATAAAGCAAGACAGAAACAAAGCCATCAATAAGTGTGTTCATAATGGTAGGACCAGAAGAAATCTCTTCAAACAGACAAGCACTATAAAATCTGTATAGCAAAAAATATACATTAAATGTAGTATCAATAAATAATGGGAAGCTGTAACATATACCTGGATTGTACAACAATGCGGTACTGTCACACTGAGTGCGATTGTAGGTATTCTTCCTATCTTTTATACTGACTGTCACACAGTACTTTGTGTCTGGCTGCAAGTTGGGAAGGACTGAAACCTTTAGTCCTGTGGTGTCCTTGGAAAACTGTAATGAGAGATACATTGATGCAAAAATGCAGTAAATCTAATGATCAAAGTCATCTTTGTTTTATACCTTAATCCCCTAAACTCAGATTGCCAGTGATGCTGAGTTTAGTACTTTATACTTTAATAATAAATTAAAATTTTACTATGCGATTACTACACCATTCATCATCAACGAAGACAACAAAGCAATGATGCTAAGAAGAATTTGGTCAAGCCAAATAGATCATTATATATATATATAACATATACAACTAACTACAGCCATTTCCATCCATGATTACTCATTGATCACAGTATCAAAGTGTCCCTGAAACCTATCCTAGGATGGATAGAGCATCTAACAAGATACCAGACATGGTTTCCAGGTCATGAGGTACACACATAGAATTTAGAGGTACTAATCAACCAAGGCCCTTCTATTACATTTATATTACTTATTCTCTAAAGTTCGATTCATATTGAAAGTTTAACCACTAGAATAGTAGATATAAGACTACAGTCCAGAGGTGATCCAACACGATCAATTCAGGTGGATATTTTCATCAAAATGCAATTATTACCTTGGGCATGGTATTTTACAAAATGTAACTTACATACACCAAAATATTTTGTCATGATACATTTGTTCATATCAGGCAATGACAATTATTATTATGATATAATTCATAATTTCTTTACTTCAAAGTCCATTTTGCTTAAAAATCCCTTAGAAAAATGTGAGAAATTGAACTACCAGTAAACTGAAATCTAAATTCAACAGATACATAGATAGTTTTTTGCTGGGTTTCTGACTGCCTGACTGTTTGTTCAAGGGAATGGATTTGACACTTAAGAGAGTTGCCACCCGATCTGTAATGAAAAATGAAATTCTGTGTCCCATTTGGAATTTGGGATGAAATTTGTCCTGTCTTTCTTCAAGCTGAAAGTGAAAAAAGCGTTAAAACCCCTGAAAATAGGCCCAATCATGCCCCTGCTACCAAATGATCGGCTGGAATTGCAAGAGTTTCTGTAATAGGCTATTGTGTCTTATCAAGCAGTGTTCATTAGCAACCATTTTAGAAGTTTCTCATTTTCTTATAGTTTAAATTTTATATATGATAAATCGATATATCCTTTATATTGTCCTGCCATACTACCTAATTTTTTTCAATCAAATCATTTTGCCACAGACATTTTTGTCCATGTACAAATAGAATGACAATCCTTGCTCCAGTCTACTACAGAGAGATGTTTACACTTTTTACCAAACCTTAAAAATTTACATATTTAAATTAAATGTTAAAAATGGTGTATCAAGTCTAAAATGACAGACAATGAAACCATTTCAACTCAAGAACTGTTGCATCTAAATACAGAAAACTGTGGGAGAAATTTGGGAGTAAGATAATTCAGGTCACTATTACTGTCAGTACCTTTCATCAAAAGCAAATGACCAAATTATTCAAGAGACTCAAAAGATATTTTAATAAAACATACTATATAACTGCAAAGGTTAAGGACTTCACCTGAAATCCATTTTTGGTGCTGACGATGGTCAGTGTGTAGGTGAACATTTCATATACAGAGAGTAGAGAATCATATGGAGGTTTCAGGTTCACATGCATTGAGTCCACATGGCTTGACAAGAAAAGCAGAGGAGGGTCCAGAAAAGCTTGACAACATAAAGGAACAATAATTAGAAGGAATAATAATTAGATCAGGAAGACTCAACTGAATAAATGCTAGACTTAGATACCAATCTACAACCACTCCTCGTTCAGTGAATGAGTTTTGTTCCAACGACCAAGTCATTAAGGGAAATAGTCACTGGGTGAAAATCACAGTACCTTCCATGCTTGATTTCTTTTACCTTTCATGAATTGAACATCTTAGCAGCATTTTGTACATGGAACCAGCATTGTCAGACATATGAAATTTACTTATAAATGCACAAATTGGTTGGAAAATACGTTTTTAGTGCTGTTATATTTGGTCTCTAACCAAGGTTGTCACTAAATGAGGAGTGGTTGTATACATTTTTCATTAATCAATATTATTCAGTCTCTGCAAATAGACTGAAAACAGAATAAAAGGAAACATATACAACACACACTGTATAAATGTACTGAAGTATATTTTGCAGTGAAATCATACAGTATTTCAGCCGATATTAGGCAGATAGTTATGGTAAAAGGCTCAACCGCAGCATCAGTTTGCTGGCCCTGGGATTCAAACTAGCAGCCTTCCAATTACAGGCACAGAGTCCTAAGCTGCTGAGTCATACACCACCATACAAATAATTAGTTAGGACCCCTGTTGTATCCAGAGCCACTTTAAGGGTTGACAAATTGGCATTTGAAGATGCTTTTATACAAAATGCTGTCATTCCCAACTGTTATTATTGCACAGCTAGTCTTCCTGTCAGCATTAATGGCCATTGTCCTCTAGCCTCTCCCAGTAACATGTTCTCAGCTACATATCTCACAGGAACTGTTTTAACACGGATTGTAATATTTTTAAAATCACTCAGGTCCTGCATCTTAGCCATTGTAAGTCTTAACCAAACAGTAACAAACTCACACACCTGTCTGCATGATGTATATGTAATTTGATTCATTGTTCGGAGCAGGCCATTTGGATGTACAAGCAGGTGTACGTAAAAACTGGCCACTGAATGTATGTGGGACACATGAACACTTGAAACATGAGACCCTGCCCTCCAATTAATAAAAAGAATCATCCTCTCCTTTTTTCCCTTTTTACTTACTGTCTTCCTTTGGTATGAAGGAATTCAACGTCTTTGTATAATTTCCCAAGATGGAAATAATCTCTGTATAATATGACGCATTAACATCTGAGAAAGCCTCTGTCAGGTTACATGTGATAGGGAGAAGTACACACTCACATCCTGATACTGTCTTCGACACGGCAGGACTGAAAATGAAAAACAGGAATAATATGGCGCAGCAGTAATGATGGACTTGATCAGCAATGTACATGCCCAGCATAGAATACTTGCATAATAAAAATGCACTATAGATCAAGATGATTAGGAAAATATGGTGATTGGGAATCTACAATTAAACTCTGATCCCAGGTCTTACAAAGAAGCTAAAAGTTGACAATGTCTTAATAATAATAACTGATACATTATTTATCCCTGTGGGGAAATTGTCTTTACACCTCCCTCAACTTGCTCTTTTGTGGTAGAGCAAGTTGCCCTCAACTTGCTCTTTTGTGGTAGAGCAAGTTGTCCATGAAGAGCAGGGAGCTGAGGGTTAAGGGCCTTGCTGAAGGACCTGCAGATATGGTGAGGCTGGGTTTGAACCAGTGACCTTCTGATTACAGGCACACAGGCTTAGCCCACTGAGCCACACGCTGCCCCTTCTCCATATACATGTGTGTTATGTATTGGGGATTGAATAACTTTAAATGCTTGCATATGAAAGCCTGTGAGGATCTTCTAAGGTATGGGATGTGTATTAAAATGGTCACAATCTCAGAAAGCATTGCCACACACACACACACACACACACACACACACACACACACACACACACACACACACATATATATATATATATATATATGAATGTTCATCTCATTGCAATATTTCAAAAATTAATTTAGTGATACACACTTCAGAATGCGATACTTTACGGTGTAACACAGCCCATTAGTTGAGTTTGGCCCTTCGTCCCATGTTAACATGTGAATAAATCTAGTAGAGTTAATTTGGGGTGGCCGCTCACATAGTCCTGTGGGAATGGAGAAGGGCTATAGTTAGTATATACTAACGAACGTACAATCACAATGGCAAACGTACAGGCATTGATACTGATAGAGCAGGAGACAAACCAAGACTTTGTCAGGCAAATCCAAAATTTTGAGTTAAAGCTGATGTGAAAGCATTTCTGGCAATAACAGATGCCTAAAGGTAAGAACCAGACAATCCTATAGCCCTGGGTTTCTCAAACTTTCCAGCCATAAGGCCCTGCTCTTCAGCAATTATCATATTGGAGGTCCCACTGCCAAAATTCGCCGATTATTTAGCAAAGTTTGCAAATTTTCTCAGGTAGCGATCAAGTTTGCAGCAATGCAGTGACCTGTTAAGGACCAGATCACATTTCCCTGCCATAGTTCATTGGTCATTGGGACTCATATTATAACATTGTAGTTCTTGCTATATTAGCCTAATTCTTTAAGTCCAGGGTTATCATTGGGGTAGTCCATACTTGCTTATTCTCCTTCCATCCATCCATCCATCCATCCATCCATCTTCCTACCTGCTTCTCCTGCAACCCTTGCTGATTTTATTTAATACAAGTATTGACAAATAATCCCATACATATTTTATAATATTGATTTCAAATAGTCACAAATGGTCACCTTAGCCCCGATGGGGCAGCCATCATCAAATTTCGCTTAAACATTTATTTGTAGAAATTTATTTGAACTTTTTTGTTTTAGAAATATTGCAATATTTACAAAAAAAAAGTCACATCACAATTGATATTTGAAATTTTCTAATTTCCAGCAGCCATAATGCAAAATAAAAATACAAACTACTAAACTGATTTAAAACAAAATGTATCCGCCTCAATGTAATTGCACATTGACAGACACAGCAGCGCCCAAATAGAAATGCTTGCAACATCATAGGTCAGTTGCGTAGGGTACAGACTGATTTATACTTCTGTGTTGAATAGACACCGTGAGTACAGCATAGTCGTGGAGACTACGCCGTAGCCTGAAGTGCACTGCCCCAGAAATGTAACTACATGTTGTGCCGAAGCAGACCACAAGAACTGCGACTGGCCTGCTGGATAGCATTAATTTTTTTATGAGAGCGAAGTAAGCATACATCCCTGGTGTACTTGAATTTTATATGCTTGATTTATGTCAAGCATTAAATTACCCACCCTAGGTACCAAAGCAACAGGACTACAAACTAATCAGAATGAGAGTGCCAATTTCATTTACCTCCATTAATTTTATTCATAATTTACAATACTAAACAAAGTTAAAAGTAATATAGACACCAACTTTTGAAGGGAAAATGCATAAAAAATGTGTTTGTAGCAGCTCGAAATTGTTCCAAATTTGCCTACAGGATGTTTGTAGCAGTGCAAATATAATAAATGGATGTTTTGTTAAGTGTTTGTTTTTATCTGTTAGGCTATGGTGTAGGCTACAAACTGATTATACCTCTGTGTTGACCCTACGCAGACCTGCAGACACTGCAACCTATACATCGTTGCAAACATTTATACTTATGCACTGGTGTGTTTGTGTTGCTCTGCAAATACACCGCCTGATCTGTTCTTGGCAGGAGTGATCTTGCTAACCTGCCTTCCAAGAATAAACTTGGGAAGCAGTGAATCATGGGATTGTTCTCGTTTTGGTGAGGATGCAACTGGTGCATCCTTGATATTTGGCGTGGGGCAAGAATGAGATCCGGGGATTTTTACTGTCCTCTGTACTTCTGTTCTTGGTATTGGAACTGGTCTCTGGCAATGAAAGATGATATAAAACAGGTACGCGAGAACACAAGTCTGGTTAACTGCACATATTGAGAAACACCTAGGGCATTAATGTGTACCTCACATATAATTTGTAATTTATTTATAAAATTTATTTAAGTATTGCACTCCTTGCAATTTGTGCATGTATAGCTGTTTGTTCTAATTGCCTTTGTAATTCTATTCAGTCATGTAACTGACTACACATCTCAATGCGCCTGTCCTTTCAATACACCCAGGACTTAACAGATGTGATGCTTTAGTTAAGCTAAATGATTTTATTTGTAATAAGCTTTTTTTTGTAGAATTTCACCATTTTTCACAGCATGACGAATCATTGCAGCACACTGGTTGAAAAATACTGTTTTAAATGACGCATTGTCTGTAGGGATATCTGTGTGTGTGTGTGTGTGTTACTGTATGCAGTAAGTACACTGTATGCACTATGCAGTTTTGAAAACAGCTGTTTTTAGTATTTGAACTGGTCTTGGAAAGGCGATGGAAAATGACGTAAAACGGGTAGACAAGAGCACCAGTACGGTCAAGCGCGTATACTGAGAAACACCCACTGAGAAATCAGCCTTTACGGCACAAGGTATGTGGCTACGCTGTACCGACATACCTACACGGAAGTATAAATTAGCCTTAAGCATTCAGAAAGAAGGTTGGATGAATAATAATAATAATAATAAGAAGAAGAATCATTTATACCCTTGATTATTCACTGACAATCAATGATAACGTCCAAGATTAAGAGCAAGACACTTACCTGCTGAGACCAGGAGCATGACGGAAAACAATGACTGAGGAGTCATTATATCACCAGAGATTTATCACCCATTTTATCATATTAAGGAGACACCCTGTGAATTATTACAGTTACATTTGGTTAATAAAAATAGCCGTCTTAAATCTGAAAAGAGGAGAAACGTCATCATATACTGATATTTGTCACATTTCTTATAGAAAAACTAAATATAATTTACACAAAGAAAACGAAACAAAATACGTAGGTTTTATAAGTTAAATACATGCTACCCAAAACTCGCAGTTATTACTAACATGTAATAAATGAACTTTTAATTTAATGGTAACAAAGTGAAAGTACAGTTGTGAGATAATTTTACTCCGTTACAATATAGAAAATGGTTTCATTATGTAACACTGCAATCGTAATAAGAAATATAATTCTAAACTATAATGAATTTGCGCTTACGCTTCACGTGTATTTACCTCACAAGCGTAGTTGTTTCCTTCTCTACAAACACAATGCTCTGCTACTCTTCATCCTCTGTCGCCATTTTGTAGGCTATTCAGGCGTATTTAAAATGTCAACCACTTCCAAAAATCCCCCATTTCATAAAACACAGACTCAGTATCAGGTTATGCACGGCTTCAGTAAGGAATCACACAGTCAGCAAAATAGAACAACTGATCCTGGAACGGTATCTACGCCTAGTCCTCCTTGCTTCGCATGTGTACCTACATTTTGAAAAGTAATTCTTGCAGTAAGCAATAGGGGGTGCTCTTGATAGTAGGCACTCTTTAATTAAGATTTCCCCATTTTAATGTCCTTGTTGTCGTTCCGCAAGCAATAACATTGAAAGAGATTCAGTTCCCCTCTGTTTAGTAGAAGAAATTAAGTTAACAAACAACAAATCTATAACTAAGATTAGATTAGATAATCCTTTATTAGTCCCACAAGTGGGAAATTTGCATCGTCATGGCAGAAAGTGGACAGTACAAGAGCAACAAAATTAAAAAACAATAGAATAAAAACTGTACCAACATTACAGTATAAAAAGTACACTAAGCAATTATTATTAGAATTATTAGTTCAATAAAATGATAAATATTTATTGATAAATGAACAGTTCATGGACAATCATACAACGTGAAAGAGATCAGCTGGACTAAAAAACATCCTTAAGAGGTGAAATTAATTATTTAAAATACAATTAATCAGTACACCAGAGGCTGAAAATGCTGTTACACTTCTCATAGAAATTACATCAGAATTTTCTGATTATAGTATTTTTTATTAAGCATAAAACATGCCAAATGTTCTTATTTCCACACCCTACAAGTGGACTTGTGCACTCACGCTTGTTCTGACAATTATGAACTTTTCAATTTGTATATCTCTCTTAGAATAACACTAATTTTGTTGTTGAATTATTTTTCAGTGAGCCCAAAAGTTTCCAGTTCTAATACTTTGCCAATATACTATTAATGTAAAATGTTTCAGTGACAGGCCCTTTTAATTACAAGATCACAAAATTGTAATATGCTTCCTTTTTCCAAAAGAAACTTAGCATGCCATATGTTCCTCAAATTTCATTTGTGAGCTTTAAATTGTTCTCTCATGGTTTGAAAACTAGAGGCCAACCAATCAGTGGTGTATTTGCGTGACTCCTCCCAGTCATAGCGTGGAGTGTAGCCTAGATCTCTGTGGGCTTTTTGGTAAGAGAAAGTAAAAGGTGTGTTCAGCATCGTAAGTAGTTGTCGGTTCAAGGGTGGAGTGAACTTGAAAAAGGGGCGGAGAAATGTTTGTAGTTTCTCCAGAAGAAAGGACAAAAAGAATAAGAGGGAAAAAGGCAGGACTGGCCGTTCTTGAATCACAAACCCTAGTGGTGACATGACCATGTAACTGAAATCTGAATAGCTGACATGAGGGGTGTCATCTGAAATAAAGTAAAAGTTTCCTCCAACTGTAATTCGCTTCTGTGTGTCCTTCAGTGCCCGGGCAGCCAAAACATGGGCAAATGCAACATTCCCCACATACACAGGGTTCACCTTGGCCCTTGAATGACAAATGCGCAGCAGTACGTTTCTGTTGCGGACACCATTGGTCATATGGCCTTGTAGGAAACGGCAGCCATCTCCATAGATATAAGTGGGTCGCAAGGCACAGGAGGCTAGACTACCCCCGTTGCTTAGGGGCTGGCCATTGACCTTAAGGACCATCTGCTCAGCTTCCCATTTGGTCTTGCTGTAAGGGAACTTCAATTGAGAGAAATAAGGAGTTTCTTCATCACCATTAAAAACTGGGTCTCCTTGTGTGTTGGGGCCTACCACTTCAATACTGCTGGTATAGATAAAGGAGGTCACATTTTCCTGAAAACAAGTTTCCAGCAAGAGCTGGCTGCCTGGAAAAAAACATATGAGGATGATTCCAGTTCAGGTTTAGAAATGACTGACAGGTTTAGAAAAGGCAGACAGAACAGAATTTCATAATGTGTTAGATAATGGGTCAGAAAACAATAAAAACTGCTGAATATATTACATTAGTTGTTGGGTTACAATAATCACTATTAATAGTTTATAAAATCTATATAATGCCCTGAAAACACAATTCAAAACATTCTGCTCATTTTCAGGGATTGTTTTAAGTTATAATGGTACTTC